GCGGTTACCGGTTCAACGAAAGCGCTTCAGGTTCAATTGTGTCAATAATTGGCTAATGGGAAAAGTTAGTGCCCATTTCTTTCTTATATTGCCAGGACTAATCCTACATACTGTCAGATATATTTACATATCGTTTCCATTGCATACGTATTAAAAAAATACATGATCATCAAAAGCAGCGACACAAAAGACCGCGTGATCAGCGAGTTTACTGAGTTCCCTCCTCTACTCGGGCACCTGGAAAGCTTCAATTTTACCCTGGCGGCGCGGTAGCGGCGGAGGTGATTTCAAAGCACCGCTTGGCCGCTTGGCTACGAAATATCCAAGTGTCGGAGCGGATTCCGCCACTCTAGGCACGGAGGCCTACGCGTCCGCGAATGTTCGACCTCAAAATGGACCGCAGTTGCAGTCGATGAGCCATTTAGCCAATCGAGCACCAAAAGTGCACCACCTTCCACTTGGGTGCAGCGACACGCTGAAGGAAAGTGGAACAAGTACCGCGCTGCATCGGCAGTATAGTGTTTAGAGTCGCCTCCGGTCCATTTCAATGAAAAACAATATTTTCAACGTGTTCGGAGTGTCACCTCGCAAAAAAGAAAAACATGGGTTGTCGGAGGCAATGTTACGCGGCGATGATTCTACGACGCGACGCGCCTTGGAAGGAGGTTGGGGGGAGGCAAGGGTGAGAAGAAAATATGTTCCTTTGTATATTTTTTGTAGGTTTATCAGACTAGCAAGGGCCAGCATGCTGCCTGTTTATTCTAAAGCCCTAGTTTAACCATTTTCTCAGTTTTGTGTGAAGTCACTCTTTCATCGTCTTCAATAGAGCATTCGAGAAGCTTTGTTCGGTGTGGTGGCATTACCTGAACTTTGTTCGGTGGCCGACAGTTTCGAATGTGAGTACTGTTATATAATAATATCACAAACTTATTGTGAACAATTCATTCTATGTAACTAATTCTGAGTCCCTCAGAGCAGGTCATTTGCATAGAACGTTGTTTGCGATAAAAAGTAAAAAAGACAAGACAAACTATCTCCACGAGATCTTTAGAACAGCGTTTCTTCCGCCGGAACCCGAAGCGCTATCTTGATGTAGTCACATTTCATCATACGAGTGAAATGTTCTACCCGTTCAAAAACAAAGGTGCTTGGTTTGAATAACTTCTTAAATTCATTTAGATACGACGCGAATGGTCTTTCAACGTGGTTCATGTCGTCTCCGCACGGCGGCCTCGTAATCTTCGCGCCAAATTGCTTCAGCCCTTCGCAAGCAGCAGACTACCGGCGATTGCTGCCCAGCGTTCTGTGTTTTTCAAACCGTTTTGCGGCAAGCACCTCGCGGACGGGTGTCAGGAATTTGAACAATTTTCTATGGCTATATTTTCGATTTTCGCAAGCCAAACTGTTGACTCTTGAGAGTTGTTTGTTTCGAGTGCGAAGAAGCCACCGATATCCTCTGCAGACGATCTGGGGAGAGGTGCCCAGTTAAGACAGCTTAGACGGTAAACTTTTGCGCAGAGTCACTGAATACAAATACCTAGGTGTCGCGTTAACGTCTAATTTGAACTGTAATGCGCGTGTCAAATACGTATCTAGTGAAGCGCTCGTCAAATTATTTTTTTTTTCCAAAAAGATATTAAAACACTATAGTCGTGACGCCAAGTTATTCGCATACAGCACACTCATTCGCCCGGTATTAAAATATGTATTAATTGCCTGATTCCCTCATAAAAAAAAGAAAAAAAAAACAAAAACAAAAAAACAATGTCAACATCCTCTAAAGTGTTCAGAGGAAAGCGATAAGATTTGTTCACCGCAAGTATGGTCGCTTTGATTCCCCTACAGAATTGCTGTAAAGATCCAGCTACTGACCATTGCTGAGCTGGCAAAATAAGGAAGACTTAAATGTTTGTATTTCCTTTTAAACGACGCCTCTAAAATAGACACGAACAAGTACGTGAATTTTTCCAAGGCAAGAACAACAAGACATAAACACTGCAATACATTAACCGAATACTCTTTTAATAATAATACTTTTAGGTACTATTTCTTACCTTCAGCTGTTAGAGATCGGAGCAGCCTTGATCCGCTATTTTTGAACTACACAGATGTGGACGCGTTCATTAAAGCTTTTGAGCAAGACCGTCTTAGCAAATTCAAGAGTTAGTCCTTTCTGCTTTATTCTGTTTTGTTGTTTCAATATGAAAGAAAGTGACGATTTATAAGAATTACTGTTTTCCGCGCTGACGAAAAGCTTCGTGTGCTTTTTTTTTTATTTGTATTATACCTCCTATAATCCCCTAATGGGGATTGACAGTATTTTGAAAATAAATAAATAAATGACAACGCCATTTTTGGTGCGTTTTAATGTTTTGCAATTTTTGGAGACTAACTCCTTCCGCACGTGTTTTTGTTCGTTGGGAGGCTAGTGAGTAGAACAATTTACGTAGGACACGGTGGGTGGCTTCCCCGTAAGGCAATGTCGACAGCAGGTTTGAAAGTATGTGAGCCTTTGGCTAACCTAAGCGAACGTTTTGGGGCGCTAGTTTTTGGGTCGAGCTGGCCGGTGAGCCAGCACGTGCGTGTTCGTCGTTTTGGAAAGCGAGCAAAGCGAGCGCTATACGTACGAACACTAAAGATGGCACCGGGCAGAAGCTGTTTTCTCGAAAGGTCTATAGACCCCTCCCGATGTTACGCCATCTTCTGGCAGAGTTTGAAATACTGCACAGCTGCGTGTGCAAAAGATGCCATAAAGATGGAAAGCCGATTGCTTATATATAGCTAAAGTAAGAACAGTATTATACAATAGCCCTGCCACATTAATAGTGTGTTTTGCGCATTCCACTGTACAGGGTTTTCAGAACTACCTGAAGACGGAGTAGTTTTGGAATGGGTCAATTGTAAGTATCTCGTGCTGAGAAAAGGCTCCAGGAAGTGCTCGGTCAATATTCAAAGGCCGAGTTTGAAACCGGTTCGAACCAGTTCGCGCTTATTAAAACCGGTAACCGGAGTCATATTATGTGCGCTACCCCAAACCGGAACCGAACCGGAACAAAATACAGTGTTACTGAACCCGAACCCGAACCGAAGCGAAATAACGACCGGTTCGACACCCTGCATAAATGGCGTATTGATGTCCCATTTCAATCTTCACTTTTGGACACTTACGAAATATGAACACGGGAAGCCTTAAAAAGTGAAGTCATTTTTAATTTAATATTCTAACAATATAATCTCGCTCGAGGACAATAAGAAGCACGCGGAAGTGGTTTAACGTGCAAGACTCTCAAAAAAGAAATAAAGACGTCGAAAATATAAAAGCAAAAATTTCTCTTTTACATTTTTCCTGATTTTGTGAGCACAGAACTATAAACGGCAAAGAAAAATATCGTAATCAGTGCATTGCTCGAATAATCGAAAGGTTAATCGATGAACTGCCCAGTCCCGACACGCGTTAGGTTAGGGCGGAGAGTTATCGGAAACCCTTTCGAGAGGGGCTAGCCATGAGTAAAAGAGTGTTGCTGCTACCAATGACATGTATGTGTCGTGATTCGGGTCGTTTGTTGGAGTTGTAGAGTCTACCACATTCTTCCTTCATCCAATCCATCGTCTTTTTGCGCTGTTTTAATCTTTTAAGAATGTCGTACCAACTCGTCCAAGCTTCAACCTTAGCAAGATGATTTACCCAGAAAATTACAATATTAGCCTATTGGCATTCCCGGCCCTCCCCAAGAAAAGTAAAGCGGGTGAACCCAAAGTACAGAGAAGAGCATTTAATAACACGCACGCTGCTGCTTTGCTCGGTTGCACTCGTTTACTCCACTCGCGGCATATATTAGAACAGTTTGTTTCACTTGTCGATGTTATTTTGCCAACGTACAGTTTGCGTATCGTAACTAGAAGTGACACTCTGTCCTCACCTCAACGTAGTAGAATTGTTCCGACTCTGAAAAACGTATACCCGCACCAAACCTTGACTGCTGCGGAACTTTCTTACTCATAAAAGCTAGCAATAGCGCGACAATTTCCGATACAGGACTAACTTCACTTAGTACAAAAATATTTATAATGATGTAAAATATAAGTTACACAAAAATAAATATACAAAGAACCTGCGGTTCCACAGCCCAGAGCGCCAGTATTATGCAATTATCTGTGTTGGAATTCCTTGTTTTGTTGAATTTCCAGACTGGTGAACCGATACATTTTTGAAAGGAGCAAATATTTAACATAAATAGCGCAGTTTACCCGGAAACAGGCATTCGTCGTGGTGATCCATGCTTTTTAACGTCTGCCTAAAGCAGACGACGCATCCACACGAGACATTTTTTTTTTTTAAATTTAGGCCGTACGCTGGTCACACGAATGGATATTCACTGAAGCACCGAGCAGTATGGCACCTTTTTTCGCTAAAATTGTTTCCCCACCAATAAAATGCAACAAAATAAATGCTAGAATCTACATGCGAATCTGGAGAGCATATGGGACAGCCATGCTTCTATACCCGCTTCGATGATGATGATAGTGCGACAGTAGCGCCACCTCTAGGTTGATCCCGAGGCCAATAGCTCGAGAACACCATGCACACAGAGAGAGAGAGAGAGAGAGAGAGAGAGAGAGAGAGAAAGACAGAGGGAAAAATTAATGAAGTTAGTGGAGAGATTGGCAGCCTTAGAAACGGCGCCGGCAGATAATCACCATGTTGAGCTTTCGCTTTACAAACACCACCTGCCGTCACCTGAACCGCCAATGGTTGAGGTGCGGTAATTTCAATGTCGCTCATTGTAATTATTAAAGCACAAACGTTTTGATTCTCAACTTGAGTTTGGTGTGTAACTCCTTGATTTTGTGAGGTTTGTTTGTTTTTTGTATTTGATCAGGACGATGTATATGGTTGACTTTCTTTCGTTTTATTAATACTTATATTGCATAAAATAATAGGCATATTTGTACGGCCAATCTAAGTCAGTAAGAATAGTGGAATAATGACAACAACTTACCTATAGGTCGTACAGTGGCCGATGTGGTTGTTGCGCCGCTACACCCACTCAGTGAACAGGCCTCCACTTTTACTGTGCAATTCTTGAACCCAGGGAATTGATACACGATAACGCTCCGCGTAGAAGATTGCGTGCCTCCTCCGTCAACAAGAATGGTCGCCTGGTTTATTGTGGGCCCCAGATTCGTTTATAGAATGACAGAATAAGTAGCATACACAACAACACTGCATACACAGGAGTAACAAACACGAATAACCATTTTTTGTGACCCTATGACTACATGATTTGAATTGCAGCATAATTAGGGGTACATTATTTACAGAAAAACTCGACGATATTGATAACACGCAGTAATATCATAAACAAATTTACTCGATTGACAGCGCACTCCTCTGTACTAAATTTAGTAATTTTTTTGCCTGTCATATGTAGAATAGCGTGGCTGGTGCATTGTATTTTTTAAACGCCTTTAACGCATACTTTTAGAAATGGCCCTTTTAAAATGGCCCGACCGTCCTAATGTAAACTAAAGCACGTATTTCTTATTCGCTTTGTTTTTGAAAAATTTATCCTTGTTTCAGCTTAAAGGGGCGGTGCAATGATTTTAACACTGAACGAATGTGCAGCTTGTATTTTTTATATTGTTTACTTCGGCATAAGTAAGAGAAAACGTGCCGCCATACCCCAAAATGCCTCTATTTCGCTGCGTAATCGTAAAATAAAAAACGCTTTTTTTCCCAACCTGCGGCCACATGGTGGCCGCAAATGGAACCTGTGGTGTCACGTCATTCGGAGTGGTTTTTGTAAGTGATAGTGTTAGGCAATTGCAAGCTTGATTTAAGGTTAAGTTAAAAAAAAAAATCTTGTTGTTTAGGCATGCAGAAACGCTTCAAAAGCCTAATATTGCCGCTAAAAGGGTATGAATTATTTGTGGCGCCATCTACCGCAAGTCAACAAAACCTGCCGTCGCCGTCATCCGTCGACGCCCGAGGCGCCTACGGCGGCTACACGAGCAACCCGGACGTTTTGTCTTTCCCTTGCTCGACGGAGTGCGTTGGTCGTGGTTCGTAGTATCGCGGTATCGTTATTGTTCCTGATGTCTCGACCTCGACTTCGACTGCCCGCCGCGTCGGAAGCATCTTGCGCTCGACGTCGCTCAGGCCGTCCGCCCATGCCGCCATGTTGGTCGGGAATCGGCGGGAGAGCGGGAGAGCGGCGAGCCTGGCGAGCCGGCGAGCGCTGGGGAAACGGAAGCCAGAAGAACCCAACCGGAAACCAACGCCACTCCGAATGACGTCACAGGCGAAGCTGGTGCCGCTTCAATGTTGAGTTGAGGGGTGCCAGAGATACCAATTTCTTTTATTTTTTTTAATGAAAACTAGGGCAAGCAGGAAAGAATTGTTTTCGGTCCTTCGTTTTAAATGTGGCCGGGATCAATTCCCGCAATTAATTAGCCAAAGTCCGTAAATTGTTGCACCGCCCCTTTAAGTCCAGACGCAGCCGACTCTCCGAGCTCATGGGAAGAATCAGACAACGTCAAAAGTGCACAATCACGGTGTGCGTCATGGTTCTGCGCGCGTTCTAACATTGCTGGAACAATAATGTACACGGCAGGCCTAGTGACTTGCGCTTTTAACGACTCTTCATTGATCCCTTTACCTTATAGCGTCGGCAGCGTCTGGACGTAATCTGAAGTAAAGTACGGAGTCCAGTGAAACTTTTGACATAGAATTGTGAATTCAGAATTTCCCCGTGTTTTTTTAACGCCAAGCATATTGCAAGCTACCGGTATTTATGTCACTGCGACTGTCGGTTTTATATTGCGATGGTGGTCTTTTATTGTTCTTTATGAACATCGACAACTCTTTTAGTAATATCTCCAAAAGGGGACGATGGGATTAGGAAATTAGTAACTGTATGCACAGATATACGACATAATAACATTAGCAATGATAGCTGTGGAACAGGAGCTTGGATGAAACACCAATGCGGATTTAATGTCACAAAAAGGTTATATATTCGTCCTTTAATTATATTTTAAAGTCTAAATTAAGCAACTGATTTGTGGTGTCCTTTTTTATGGTAGAAACAATACAGATTGTCAAGACAAAGGAAAAGGGCTGACAAAACGAATTACGAAACGGCAGGTTATACTTTATAATTACAAAAAATTCTGACACATATAACAACTGCAAATAAACATTCGATAACAAAGATGAGACATTTTCACAAAATATTGCAAATAAGTCAAGTGTTTTGAATTGCGAGTCTGTTTGCCACATTGTGCAAATCACCCCTCAGTCCTTAAAGATGAGTAGCTTGCAACACTGGCAAGTGTTCAACATCTTAGAAGTAGCAATTGTAATTTCTAATGTGTGCAAGAAAAGTTGCATAATATCTGTACTAGTCTATTATATCTCCATTCAAGAAGATGCCATGCCTCCAACCAGTCCCCTTCCTGCAATTACTTTGGGTGTCTAAATGAACAAAATAATAAAAAAAAAAGCAACCGCGATTCGTACGTATTCCATTATTTCTTGTTATCTGAGAATCTAAAAAAATTACCTAAATATGTAATAGTTTTCATAATTTTAGAGGTATAATTGTACCCATTATTTTCCCTGAATACTATATAAAGCTTAACTTCATATCCAAAGCAAAGCACATCATTCTTATAAAAAAAAGAAGCTATTTCTTTAAATAAATTTTTAAATGTAATCAAGCTTCACCGGCTTTTATAAATGACAAACAAAACTTTATTTCAGACATCGTGTACTTACAGTTTTGTGTTGAAAACCGTTGAAATCATTTCGAGGTTCAGAGGAAGCACCAAAATGTGGATTCTCATTGCAGCAGCTCACATTTACCTGAAATATTACGAGGAGCACTCTCAATGTTTTGCCCCTTTTACGAGGGAAACTATAAAAATGTTTCGTGCTAGAAGGGCCTAGTAAGCAACTCTCTTATATTATAACTTCCCTGTATTCATTTATCACGCATCGTTTTTGCATAATAATTCTTCTGCGAGCTCTCCAGTGAGAAAATACATAAAAAACGGCCGGTTTTTAGGTTTCTTGCAAAAGTAAACGGAAAGGTAGATGAATGTATTGCTATGACTTCAACATGTAATATTTTACGTTTATAGTGACTAAACAAAATTATACCTGAAAATACATTTCCAGAACCTTGACAGCCGGACAAAAGCAACTGGATCATTAACTTGCTCGTCTTGGTTTGGATACATTCACGATTTACTAATAATATTCTGGTCTTAACTAAGTACATGTGCTTGCATCTCGATAGTATTAATTCACTTTTTTTAATAATACTTATGAATGTAGTAGTCTTGTGCGAATAGTGGATTTTGAGTCCGAAGCGAATTCGAAGCGAATAGTGGTTTTGGCCGAATATTTTCGATTCGAATATCGAATAGTTTTTTTCCACGACTTTCACTACCATTGCATAATGTTTAGACGAAAACCCAGCTAAACCTGTAAAGGTTATTCAACTTCTTCATTCATAAGCTAAGCTTAATCTATCTATATTTGTGAACTGTGATCTCAGAAGGTCTGGTGTCTCGGGATGGCAAGTAAACGACGGATCCGACATAAAATGAATCCTATATAGATGGTCAACTATACCAATAGAGTGAATTTACAAATCTTGATATATAAAATATTCTTTCTTTAATCTCAAGTTAAAAAAGAATGAGTCGCGTATGATGTAAACAGGCCGTAAAAGCATCTCTGCCTAACATAGTGTACTCTTCCATAAAAGTTTAATTTTGTAACTTTTACTACAATGTAGATATACACATTCACAAAGTTTCCATTTATTTTCATATACAGTCGGCACGGGTGCACCGTTAAGTGCGCTTCTTTGCGAGCACTGGTGTAATGCGGAGAAGCAACACCCGCAAAGCTCACTTCCGCGGGTTTTGCTTCTCCGCGGCGCACCGGTGTTTGGTAAGAAGCGCACTCAACGGGGCTAACCCGCCGTAATCAACACTTCGAAAAACGCGAATAGTGCAGTTCTTTTCGAAGCGAACATCGAATAGTGCATTATTCGGAAATACTATTCGAAATTTCGAATATTCGCACAACCCTAGAATGTAGGAATGCTTTAATGCTCGTTTTTAATGTACGTCATATAGTTTCTAAATTGAAGTTTCCAACGACTACATAACGCATTGTTGTTCCCGGTGCTATCCTGGTCACCGAACTGATTAGATATGTGTCAGAATACAAATGTCTGCCAAAGCAATGATTGTAAAGCGCGATTTAAACCACAGCCAGATTGCAACAATACTTAAAAAAACAAGCGAGCTGATGGTGATTCATGGTAATAAAAACCCGAGACTCAGGAACACTAGAGTTCCTGTATAGCTACCTACGTAGGGAGCCTATACAGGAACTCTAAGGAACACAGAAGGGGACGTTGTGTTCGTGTTTGTCCCCTTCTGTGTTCTCGAGTCTCGGGATTTTATTACAATAGCCAGATTATGGGTTGAGGGGTCCCGGAAAGCTCAATGTCCTTGCCAGCCGTGTGACGTCACCGCTCACGTATTGCGACTTCCGGCAGTGTAGCTGCATTTGCAGTAGAATGTGCTTCAAATTTCGGGAATTGCAAACGGTCAGGCGATTTTTGTCCTCTCCCCCCTGTCCCCTCCTTAACTGCTTCGATGCATTCAAGGTCACTCCACAAGTGCACCAAAGCTCCCCTCCCCTATTGCGAAGCGTCATGCGGCTAGCGGCTGGCTCGACTAGCTACCACCCGTACTCAACCGCGCGCTTTCCTCTCGAAACAGGTAGCGGAAATCACCGACTTCGCGGTTTCTGGGGCCCACAACCCGGGATTCAGTTTTGTTTGATCCGGCCTTTAACCGAGCTCCACTCGAGGGCTTTCAAAATGCTTGTGTCAAATTCAGGAGATGTGTTCGACTATCGCAACCTTTGGTTGATTCCCGCGTCTTCCTCAGCATTGTTATCAAAATGACATCATCAGCAAGCTTGATGAAAGAGAGATTAAGGGAAAAAGTCCTCTCTTACACTAAACATTTCGCAACAGCATTAAAGTTGATATCTTTTTTTGACTACATCAGTAAGCTTGCTGAAAGAGAGAATAAAGAGCCCCTTAGATGAAAGAAACATGTTTTTAAACAATTTGGTTCAGACACGCGCGTCAAAAAACTAATTTTACGCGAAAAAAAGTAGAGTAATATTGACAGCGCGAGACGCGATTTAGTCGAGAGTAATTTCCTTTCTACTCGTTCTCTCTCCTGGCATTTGGGGCGCGTGGAGGAGAGGTGGATCGGCTTCGCCTTCACGTTGAGGTCGAAAGAGCGAATTAACATTCTGTTTCGTTATAGACTTTGCGCTCAGAATTTCAAATAAATCTCTCGCCGTCAATATTGCTCTAAATTATTTTTTTGCGTAAACGTTTTTTTTTTTTTTTTTTTACATGGGTTTCCTAACCATTCTTCACTGGTCAATAAAACATTTTGTTTCCTTTTCAGGGGCCCTTTAAGGGAGATAGTCCAGTCTTATACTAAAAATTCACAACATTAAAGATGATATTGTTTTATTGCCCCTATAAAGCATTGTTCATACACGCAACCAGAAGACGAAAGATAAAATTTAAATGCCCGCGTAATACACCATACAGTGACTAAGCAATGAGGGGTCCAGCGAAAATCCTCAAATCGCGGTTAGAATGTTCTGGATTTTAAGAAAAAGTTCACATATCAATTCAAAGTAATAGTGTAGGGGTCTCCAAATTTTCTTTTCACTTCCGCAGTTTCTTTGATCTTTAGAAGGTACAATTTGAATGGCAGTACTTATAGCCAGCGCGCCGACGCGGACGATGTCAAAAAAGCTGAAGCTAGCGTGTGGCTTCAAAGGCCTGCAGCGCTATTGATCAGAAGAGAGCTGAACCATTCCCTACACCACAAGCCAATATAACTTTTCGCTATCGAGATTAGGGAACCTAAAATCTTATTGAATTCGTTTTAGATTTCAGGTTTTCAGGAAATATTACTTTGTCTGCAATCTAGATTTCATGTTCCCAGCAATTATTCCAGTCAGATTTCTTGGTCCATAATCCAGATAGCGAAAAGTTATATTGATTTCTGGTGTAGAGTTTTCAACGCTCCTGGTTGTTCTCTTTTTTCCACAACTTCTTTCCTTTATGAAAACTTGGAAACAGCGCAAAAGAATCGAAGGACAAGAACAAGAAGTGAACGGACACAGCGTTGAGTCCGTTCACCTCTTGTTCTTGTCATTCGTTTATTTTGCGCTGTTTCCAAGTTTTCATAATCCACCAACTAGCTCAACTTCATGCCTTATTACTCCTTTGCTTGACTATCTGTCGCCGACTTAAAGCTGATATAAGGGCCGAATTTAAAAACGTCGCCCCCCCCCCCCCCCCCCCGAAAAAAAAAGAAAAAAAAGAAAAAAAAAAGGAAAATTAAGCGTGGTTTAAGCCACCGGGTTGGCTTGTTGAGTGCTCAATTTTCATACGTTTGGTAATAAGTTCGTGGGATAAATGATAATAACCTGTTTTCATTTCCTTTCACCGAGCACTGCTCTTATCGTCTTTTACACAGAAATAGTATGCCGAACAAGCGGGAGTGAAAAAAAAATAAAATCGAACAGCCGCTAAAATGCCGCTTTTTTCACACAACAGCGTCGAAAATAGCTCAGCCTTTTCCCGCTAGATAGCACTAGGGGCCTTCGGAACCACGCGCTTGCCTGAGATTTTTCATATCCTCCACGACTGTACCGATCATGTCAGGCGACAGCAATCCCAAACTTAATCTTGCAACGTCCAACACATGTTAGGTTGGGATGTTTACGTTTTCATATATAATTTTGGCAGGCATCTTGAGTACTCAATAAACATACGCTTTACTCTTTGCGTTACTTTGAGAACGCAATTTGGTAGCCTCACTAACATGTGATGGACTTTTTTCTTTACTCAAACGTATACATCGCCCAATCATATATAATGGAATTTTTAATCCCAAATGGGGCTACCATAAGAGATTACGTATCCTCCGTTTCGTTGACTGCAATCACTTTAAAAAAAAATAATAAAAAAAAAAGGTGTAGGCGGGTGCACCGGGAGCACATGCACCCTTTTCCTGGTAGATGCACCCTCCGTTACTTAGACACTCTACTTGTACACCGACCATGAGCATCCTCCTCTCCATTAGAACCCTCTCGATGTATCAGTGCACCCAGCTTAGTACACCACCACGCTAGCCACGCGTCCTGATCAGCTTGTGCTTGGATCGGATAAAGTTGGATCTTTCGGGCTTTTTGTTTTGGAGGAGCCTACACATGACGACTCTAATATATTGATTAAAATTAAGCTTGTCTCAGTGATGTTTTAAATATATGCTGGGATAATTATTTCTGTGCCAACGAAAGCTAAAAGCTTCGGTTAAAAGCGGAACGGAAACGTTCAAAATCGAATCACACGTAAAAGAAAAAGAAAATTAACATGGCTGCAGAGATGTGCAGAGCGCTGGTTTTGTTTCTAGCAACGTGGTGTTGGCGGGTGGCGGGCAGCGCCGTGGCGCATCAGTCACGACGATGAACTGCCGGCACTCGTAGGCCGCAAACAGGCGGCAAAAAAGTTGCGATGCTGCGTGGGCGGTTGCTGACAGGCGTCGCTGCGTAGGGTTCGCCGATCATGAGAACGTTTTCGCGTTCGCACATTTTCACATTTTCAACGATAAAGCAGCATCCTGCCTCATCGGCAAGCTAACGCTGCTCGAGAGTCCCACGCTCAAATTTTAGCAGAGCGGACGCGGTCAGTAAACGTGGTCGCAGTCAACGCAGTCACGATTAATTATTCATTTTATATTACAATGTGGGCTATACGGCGTAAAACATAGGATCTTCAAACTTCCCGTTTTTGGGGTCACTTTTGGGCAGGGCAGTTTCTTTGGGAGTATTTAGCTGTCCTGTCCACTCGGTATTAACAGCAGAGTAGATGCTATGCTTGTTTAAGTCCAATCGTGTCTCCGGGTAGAGTCACGTGACTACAGTCTCCAAGCTAGAGATAAGGCAGAGCACGGCACCTGCCTGAAGGCGAAGGCCATGGATAGCATACACTGCACTATCAACTTTGGGTCCGACTTTCAAGAGTATATAAGTGACAAATCCTCTCGTTGTGTTGATTGTAGGGATGCCCCCGAAGATGAGCCTTTGTGAGGGCGCCCCCCTTTTGGCCTTGAAGGAGCTGCTTTCCTACTGCTTCTCTCTTTGTCTCTCTCTACCTAAGCTGTAAGCGTGGAACAAGGTGCGCAGTCACCGGGCCAATCAACCAAAGGCTTTTTTATCACTTCACTCTGCTCTCTGGGCGCGACTAACGTCAAGAGCGTGATCACGTGGTAAAGATTTCACGAATGGCGTAGTAGCTTTTTCCAATCCTGGAATGCCTGTTTCAATTCCTAGCCTCGTTTCTTTTGTGCTGTGCTGCGACCTGCGGGGCTGGCGTGCATTTCTCTTACGACAAAATATTCGAAGTGTACCAAGGCCACCAGTGTTTGAAATGTCCTACGCGTATACAGGCAACAAGCAATTTCTTCAAAAACGCCCAAGATATTCTTGTGATGCGTTTAATATTCGGTTCGGAAAGTGACTGTTTCTGCCACATCCTGTGGAATCATCACAGATCCCTTTCTTCTGTAGATGGTTGAGCGTTTTGATTTATAATTTACGACAAGAAAAGAAGGACATTCAAGACTTCGGTGTCCGTGTCGACATATATCTAAGATGACATCTTTCAAGTCCGGTATTTTTATCGTAAGTGCGCTGCAACCTACTCCTTTGCAACAGTTGACCGTTGCGTTCTGCACTACCTCTAGCATTAGGCAGTGCCTATTTTCTAGCAGCCAGGAGAATAACTCCCTGAAATTCTATCGGCAGTCGTCTGCCATTAGCTGCCTAAAATCATGTGACAACTTCAGGCACAATACTGACTTTCTTTTTCTCGTGGCGTTTTTTGAAGACACGTTACATACACACTTTTCCGTTTATAGAGGTTTTGTAGACACGTTTCGTCGACACTAACATTTCATCAACACTAATGTTTCATCATCACTCATTACGCGAAATGCACGATGTAAGGACCTTTCGTCACGCGTGTATCTCTGATGCGCGTGCTCACCGACCCATCCCACCCGTTCACGTTGCTTCGTTGCGACAGCCTGCGGTGGCTCATTACAAAAATGTTAACGCACCTGTCCCACCCGTAGACGTCACTTTGCAGATACAGTCTGGGGCGGCTCATCACAAGAAAAAAGAAAAGAAGCTAATATAGGAAATCTAATATGAGCTGTCTATGAAACATCGCATGTCGATGAAACGTCGTTCAATGAAGTGACTGTAACGCCAATGAGTGGCCACCGCCGGTAGAATTTCAGGGAAATAATCCTGCCGGCTGCTGGGAGAATAGACTCTATCTAAAGCTCAGCCCGGTTCTTGTTTGCTTAGGCATCTTCTCAGTTGTGTAACAGCTTCTTTGTACCTCTTCACATATCACGGATTGCTTGCAAGTTTGTACTTGTTTACGGACTAGGCCGTCTAATAAACTTCTAGAAGATTTCAAAACAATCCATTGTGTCTGTTTACCTACTTTTTTGCAATCACCTGGGCGTGTACATTGTTTTAGGGTTTTCTTGATGTTTTAATTATGTTTATGAGGTTAATTATGAAGCGGGTGCATAGGGTGGTGGAACGGTGCACCTTTGAATAGGGTGCATTTGTGTTCCCTTCGAGTTCAGTAGATGTAGAGAGGTGTAACAGTGCATCATAGGATAGGGTGCTCCTGTGTTCCCTTTGAAGGAAGTAGGTTTAGAAAGGGGAGTAATGGTACACTATCCAGCAGGGTGCATCTGTGTTCTTTTTGAGTGAGGCAGGTTAATGAAGCGATGCAATGGCACACCTTCGAAAGGGAACATCTGTCTTCTTTTTAATTTCATTGGGTGTAGAAAGAGGTGTAGCCGTACACCATTGAACGGGGTGTACCTGTGTTTCCTTCGAGTGAGATTGGTGTAGAAAAAAGTGTACATGCGCACCACAACAACGGGCGCACACTTTAGGGTGTACCGATATTACCCCAAAGGGTGTATATGGGACAAGCACTTACACCCTCTACGGGTGTATCGCTCTACACTATCTTTCTTTAGAGTTCGTTGAGTGGCGTTGTGGTTCACTCTGACACATTGCGGGGATCCCCAATGTCGCGGAAGCGCACGGTAGATCTCGTTGTAAGCAGTCGTAATATAATCGGTCGTTCTGAAGAAGCAGCTGTTTGAAGCAGCGTTAACAGTTTCATTTTCTTGGCATTTTCTGAATAGAGTGCGTATTTGTAATTTAAGACGTCTAGTTTCTAGCTAAAATTGCGATGAAAAGACTGACAGGAACTTAATGACAACTCAATAAGAATTTTGGCGACGCAACGATCTTGATATTAGTTGTAAAAAACAGAAATAACTATCCTACTCCGGATGCTGTTGAAATCAGAAAAGAAAGTGTGTACTGAAACTGGTTAACGAATATGCAAATTATAACCTGGTAGGCTAATGTAAATACTCCGAGAGTTTCTAAACTTGTACATATTGTTTGCTTGCATTCCCCACATTTCTTTCATTTATAACGCTCAAACTCGCCCCTAATTATTTAGACACAACACTCACTATCGAGCGTTACGCTTTTTCATAAAATGCAGCCCATAAACACATTCTGTTTAAATGCAAGAAGCATAATACCAAAGAAATGTGACATGAAGCATAGACTGTAAATATTATTTTGATGTTAAACGAAAACAGACAGATAAAAAATAAAGAACTGAATTACGCAGTATATATATAGAGCACCAGACTTGCCTTACGTGGAGCAATTTTAACAGAGTTTATTTAATAAAGATCGACTCACCCGAAAGAATTCAGCATGACCGGAGACGCCCCAACGCACTAATATTTCTCGAGAGCTGAGTGAGTCAGCCTTGAGGTTAATAGGGTCTGGAATAGATTTGGCAATTAGTGTGGGACCAGCGCTAATTTGGCATGCTTGCAAAATTTTAAAATTTTCCTCAAACTGCACGATGAAAACTATACTTCTATAAAAACAAATTCTAACAAATGTACACCTTTCGACGCAAACAGGTAGACTGTCAGGCTAAACAATTTATCAAAAATTAAAGCGAGGATATGAAGAAATATTCTATTGTAATGCGTTTAAGGAAAGTAAATCGCGGCACCCGTTTGATGAACCTGTCATCAAATATTGAGGCATATAAATGTCTCTAATTTTGTGTACCAACATGCAGCTATTAACAAGTGGCAGATAAAAATATTTGATATATACACAACTCTCTATAATAGCAGTATACCTAAAATATATGTTAATTGAAATATATTCAGCTGTTTCTCTGCGGAAATTCGATATAAGCAAACTGCTAGTTTAAATTGTCTCCGGATGAATCGTTAACCCTTTTCTATTTGCACACATTATTGTATTTATTGATAACTCATCCTCTAAGGTCGCTAAATTTAACACAGTGCAATTTCCTTGCGAATAAATTATGACAATACGGAACATTTGCAAAAAGTTTTTTGCATTCTCATAACAATAACTGATCCTCTCTGATCGCTTCGCTTACGCCTGTTAATGTTTTTGGAGAGAAAGAACTTTCTGCTAAGATTCCTTGAAATTAAGGTTTTAACTAAAGATTTACATCAATCTTCGTATGTGAAAAGATGGATTAGATCAGGGGAAGCGTAAGAGTTAGACAGGACACTCAGAAAAAGGTCCTACCCTTTGATCAGCCGTGAAACAAAAAATCTCGCATGTTCTAGAAATGAATCTGTCAGTTAGCGAATTTCCGAATTGTCGCTTTTTAATGTAATTATTTTTATTATGGAGCTGCCAAGGTACGCATTGATGGTAAATAGCTGACGGAAAGTTTTTCGGACATTCGCCTCCGTCATAGAGGAAAAAGAAGATTGCGGCTCCTTTCCTTCATAGTCACCCCTGAGGAAGAAGCCGAACCGGTTTCGAAACGTTGGGCCCCTGATTTAGTGATTGGTTGGTCGTCGTATTTTAATAAATAATATTTTTACTTTACAAATGCTTTTCTTCAAATTATTTTCCTTCAAATACATACAAATAAGCAAGCACAAGAATGCGATATTTTATCATGAATGACAATTGATGAGGCGACGATAACTGAAAAAAACAAAACTTTTAATGCGACGAATTTGTGCCCAAAACAAAAAGGGAACAGAAGATAACAATAGAGCGCCGCGGGAATCGATAGCGGTGTAACAGCAGGATAGAACGCTGTGCGAGACTGACTCCACTCGCCATGCGGAGTCCCTTATGTACCCTCGTGGGTTTCTGGAACAATCGGCGTAGAACTTTCGACGCGTAGAACGTTCGCAACTCAATCAGATGAGAATGTTCTCGAACTTACGAGAACAGCATGTTGAAGGAATAAATAAAACGACAGTGCGATGCCTGAAAGCGAACCTAGACCTTAAACGCGACAGTCAAGCGCGGTAACCATTCGGCCACGCACGGGCTTGCTTAGCGGCGCGCCTGGCATTACTCCCCCTTTAAAAGCGCTTCGTCTCGATGCGACGTGCCGGGAAACAAAACAGCAAAACAAACAAAAATAATGGCAAATTACGTAGAATTGTACAAAACAATCCTACCGAGCGTATTACAAAACACAATGCACAGTCCTGTCAATCGTAGTACGGCTTGAGGCGCACGACGTGGACGACTTCCGGTAGCGGAGGGCGGCGTGATGAAGTCCTTGTTCTGTCGGGCATCATCTCGAAGTTCAGATCCCCGAGTCGACGAAGCACTTTGTAGAGTCCTAGGTAGCGCTTCAGGTGTTTCTCGTTCAGATCACGCCGGCACAGCCTCATCCTGTCTCCGAACTGGAAGTGGACGTCCCGGCGACGAAGTTGTAGCAACCAGGGTCGACACGTTGTTGGGTTTTAATCCGAAGTCTGGCGGGCTGACAGACTTCTGCCCGCTGGGAGACCACATGGGCGTCGTCGCTTCCGTCGACAGCAGGTTCATGGGGTAACATCGCGTCCAGCATTGTCGTTACCGTGCGACCATGAACCAGTTAAAACTGTGTCAACCCGGTTGTCTCTTGCTCGGCCGCGTTGTGGGCAAATGGGACGTACGGCAACATTTCGTCCCATGTCTTGCGTTCCACGTAGACGTACATGGAGATCATGTTGGCGATGGTCTTGTTGAGTCTCTCCTTCAGCCCGTTGGTATGCGGGCGGTACATCATAGTGCGACGATGGCTGGTGTTGCTGAGACGAAGAATTTCTTGCGTCAGCTGGCCTATGAACGATTATCCACGGTCTGAGATCAGAACTTCGGGACCGCCGTGCCGGAGGACGATAGACTCCATGAAAAACTGGGCGACTTCTACTGCAGTCCCTGAAGGATGGGCTTTCGTTTCGGCGTACTGCGTGAGGTAATCTGTGGCAACGATTATTCATCTGTTTATTTGCGTCGATGGTGGGAAAAGACCAAGTTGCATGTTCCGTTTCTTGTTGGAAGTGAGTATCGCGTTTCTTGTTGGAAATTCGTCACGAAAACCACACTGCGGTCATCCTGAAGTTCGGGTACTCCTCTTGCGACGTCTATTCCTCTTCCCAGGAGCAATTAAAGGTTACATTTTAGAACAACTTCGCCGCAGGTAGCTGCATCGGTCACAACGGGTAAGAAAACACTCGATCGCGGCGGCAGATTCACGTGATTGACAGTGACTCGGACGGCGGCAGACGGAGTTTGGGGTTTTTCTGAAGACGGAACAGGTGTCCGCAGCGTCAATCTGTTTTCTTCAAGGTCGATGATGGCGCCGTACTCACACTGAGAGTCCATGCCGATAATGGCGTCTCTGAAACAGTCTTGTAAAACGACGAATTTTACAGTATAAGTCTTGCCCTGAATTTCGACGTGAGCAGTGCACCTTCCGACAGGCGTGATGAGGTGTCCTCCTGCGGTCCGTATCTGGGGTCCATCCGGCGGCGTCGTGACTTTTTGAAGGCGGCGACAAAGCCTCGCACTCAAGACTGAGTAATCTGCTCTGGTGTCCACGAGTGCCGATCTGTCGTGGCTGTCGATAACGTTTAAGTTGTTTGCGCCGTTGCCGGAGGGTCGTTGCGACGCGTGGCGTCAGGAGAGTGGGAGCGCTCCGGCGTTCTTGGAGGCTCTTTACGTCATCGGTCCACGGCAACTTCACCTCCAGGAGTTGACACGTTTAGTTCTCCCGGCAGGACTCGGGCGACAGATTCTCACGAGGGGGTCGATGCATCGGCGAAGGTGGACGCCGTGGTGACAGCAATTTAGACCCGCGGCGAGGTGCAGGCGGGCGGGACTGAGGTCGCCGAAGGTACTCTTCAATCTTTTGTGGTCGCTCACCGTAGCGTGGGTCGTTCGGGTGGAAGCCGCGCAACCCCAGTTGCCAGTAGGGATAACGGGGGTAGATGCGATCAGCTTTTCCGCACTGGTACACAACGGGCGTCGATCGGCCGCCCTCCATACGTCGGCCTTCCTCGTCGAGGGTCGCTCCGAGTGGACGTACTGAACCAGTCCTTCCTGACATCAAGAATAGCGCGGCATCGGAGTGTCTCGTCGGGGTGGTGCAGGGGCCTGGCGCTTAGCTTGCGGCGATCGTCGGGCCATGGCAGCGTAGCTCAGCGTTGGTTCCACTGGCGTCGTCGTGTTGATGGGAACTTCAGGCTGGAAGGCTCAGTGAACCTCCTCTCGGACGAGTGATGGTGACGGGCTATCCACAGCGGGGAGCACCTTGCGGAGCTCTTCCCGGACTACTTCACGGATGATGTCACGAATGCCGAGGATGCTAGGGCTGATGTCGTAGCCCAATGCAGAAGAAGCTGCGATGCTCGAGTGCCGGTAGTGGCTGGCTTTTGCGAGGAGGTCCCGTTCTATGTTCGTGGCTTCCTTGACGAAATCTTCAACGGTGGAGGGGGGTTGCGGACAAGACCACCGATGATGTCATCCTTTACACCTCGCATCAGGATCTGCAGCTTCTTTTCTTCGGTAGCTTGAGGGTCGGCGCAAGCGACCAGGCATAAATCATCCTCGGTGAAACTGGTGATTGTCTCGTTTGCGCCCTGGGTCCTCATTCGAAGAAGGTTCTCGGCCCTCTCCCGTCGATATTGGTTCGTGAATGTCCGCCTCAGCGCATCCTTGCAGGCGGTCCACGAGATCAAGGAAGTTTCGCGATTCTCGAATCAGCGCCTGGCCGTTACTTCGAGCGCGAAGTAAAGACTCTGTAAGCGCTGTTCGTGTGCCCATCGATTGTGCTGGGCCACTCGCTCGTACTATTGTAGCCAGTCCTCGATGTCTTTACAAGGCTGACCAGGAAGGACGCTGGCGTACGGGAAATGACGGGTAGGACAACGACGGATGGAGTGGTCATCGTCGCAGCCTTGTTTGCATGGTTTCTGCGGCAGGGGTTCGAATTCCGTGGGGCGGCCTGTGGTACGGCGGCTTACTCGGGCGTGGGCGTCTTCTGCTTAGAGTAGCCTTCCGGGGCTGGGCACCTCACTTGGCCGGGATGTCCTCGTAGGGGTACGCTTCACGGGCATAAGAAGCGATACCCCGCACCTCCACCAAAAATGTCACCAATGACAATTGATGAGGCGACGAAAACTGAGACAAACTAAACGTTTAATGAACTAACTTGTGCCGGAAACAAAAATGAAACAGAAAATAACAATAGAGCGTCGCGGGCGTCGATAGTGGCGTAACAGCAGGATCGAACGCTGGGGCGAGACTGACTCCACTCGCCATGCGGAGTACCTTTAGGGGTATTCACACGAGGGAGAAATTCCGGGGTCTTCTCCATGGCACGCGCACCACACGACGAAAACAGCAGACTTTTCGGTGTGCAAAAGCCTTGTGTTTTTGTCTTGTTATGCGCGCGCGCCGGGGAGAAATCCCAGGGATTTCTCCCTTTTGTGAATACCCCTTTATTTACCTTCGTGGGTTTCTGGAACATTCGGCGTAGAACTTTCGGCGTGTGGAACATTCGGAACTCGATCACATGAGAATTTTCTTGGACTTACGAGAACGCCAAGTTGAAAGAATAAATAAAGGTACAGTCCGCTGACTGCAATTAAACTATACCTTCCGCGAGACAGTCAAGCGCGGTAACCATTCGGCCACGCACGCGCTCGCTCAGCGACGCGCGTGGCAATATATATACTTTTTATTCAAACGCTGTTTACCTTTAATAAATGAAGAGGGGTATGGGAACCCTACTCACCCATTGGAATAGTGGATATATCTTGGGAAATGGCCGGACTTTGAAGTGTGATGTTCTGACTTTCTCCGGTATTCTTTGCCGAGATATGCACTATGTACCTTACACCAGGTTCTAGCGACAAAAGAACGCTCATCCAATCCTGGTCGTGAGGCCGCGTTGAAGGTATATCGATTTCAGTGTTTCCAGGAAGTCCGATTTGGGGGTCTCGAGGTTCCCATCGGAAGTGATACTTGAGCGGCAATCCATTCCAAGCGATAGGGTCAACGACGCGTAGATTGACCTTTCCTTGTCCTGATGAGATTATCTTGATTTCTCTTGGCGGAAGGGGAGCTGTATAAATCAATAACAGTCATTCATACGGAGGAAGATAGATTACATGTGTGAGGGGGATTAGTTAGTTTGGTCTTAATTTGCGTTGACGCAAATTAAGATCAAACTAACTAATCCCCCAACCGCCACCCCAAATTCATTGAGATATACGTCGCAACAAAGTAAGCTAAATGTCAATTCTAATTCGGTCGTAACTGGCGACTTTATGTATTGAAGTTCCCTAATCGTTCAAACTGCCAAGAACGCGAGAACACCGAGGTGGTATCACCGTTAGGCGCATTTTGCATTTTCACACTTTTGGAGACGTCGCTCGTTAAGATGTTAAACATCGCAGATTTATCGGTTCTTGCTTTCTGCTACGAAAATCAAATCAAAAGAGAATGTTCACAGCGTTTAAAAAAATGTAGTTAAACACCTAAGCCCAACATAAGGTGGTAGAGGATTTTATGAATGGAGCATATTTGTGCGAATGTGAATATGTTTTAATAGCTTTTAACATTTTTCTTGCAATGTTACGTGAAAAACACATGGGAAATAAAATATTTGGTTACATATATTTTGACTTGGGAATTATTTCTTCACAATTGTATGTAATATGTTATGCTGAAATGCATTTAACACAAATCAGTATTGACTAGTTATTTCTTGTTTACTCGATCCAGAAAATGGCTCTTACTTGAATTTAGCAAGCAAGTAAACATTCCAAATTAATCTGTGTGGGCTGTAAAATGAAATTTTCTATAAATGTAGGCGTCCCAAATTTGAATCGAAGAAGTAGGTTGCTCCTGACTCTTCTCGGGTCCTAAAAGTAAACCTTTTTCGTACACTACATAACTGCTTCTGTTGCAGAAAGAACCAGTGTTGTAAGAAATGTGCTACAAAAAACAACAACAAAAAACAGCATTTTTTAACATATTTTGGAAATTTTTTTTAATGGTCCTGGAGATGTTTGTCGGAAATGCAAGTACTTCTTCAGGGTAGCGCTTACTTGTAAAACCTAGCTTGCTCTTTGTTATCTTCAGCATAATTCATGTCGAATTTTCGCAACGACGTTACTTCGGCAATTTCTTAGATAGCCATTAACGCACTATTGTGATACATTTTTCCAGCCGAACGTTCAGCTGGGGCTGATGAAATTACCTGTGCCAACGCTTGTATCTATAAACAATTCTACGTAGAACCCTTGCTCGAATTGCATTCTTATTAAGTCATTCGCACATTTGATAGCGGAAGAAAGGAAAAGAAAGGCGGTTATTCACTCGTTCCTAATATTTGTCAAAAATGAAGTTGATGCTATAATCAAAAACCCTTGTTCCTTCTTTTGTAGTGTTACTTATTCGTATCAAAGTAAGCCAATTTTTGGCAGTTTTTTTGTTTTCTAACTGCTCTGTATCAAAGTGAAGCCCACCTTTAGCACATCTATAGAAACAAGTCTGGCATATCACGGAACGTTTCGACTCGCTAAAGTATACTGCCATGTTAAAGGAAAAAAGTGGCAGCGTTCTTTACCTTCTGAGTTCTATAATGTATGAAATACGTCATAGGAAATTGGTGAGGAAAGTTTTGTGTCACGTGACATATTTTCTCGCTAAATTTAGCCGGGTAACTGGACGGTCCTATAGGTCACGTGACGTCAGGTATCGTGACGCCAATGTCCCCTGCTAAAGTTAGTAGGGAAACCGGATCGGTGTCCGGGCCACAAGACGTGAATTCCCCTGCTGAATTTAGCGAATAACTGAATTGGTGCATTGATCACGTGACGCCAATTTCCCGCTAAACTTAGTGGGGAAACGGAATTGGTCTGAATGTCCCGCGACGTCAGGTAGTGTGACACCAATTTTGCCGCTAAATGTGGCTGAAAAACTGAATTAGTTTATAGGTCTTGTGATATCAATTTCGTCCCTAAATTTAGCGACAAATGCACGGAAGGACGAACCGATGGACGAACGGACATTTTGGGACTGCGGGTAGCGATAAAAAATTAAAGACGTTTACAAATCTTTGTAATGCGAAATTAAAGCGCAGCTTTTGAGGAGGAAGAGGGGAGGGTACAAAGGGGAAGGTATGCTTCTCCGTACCCTCCCCTCCTCCACCTTAACCCGCTAAACTTAGCAAAAAAAAAAATTTCCCGCATAATTTATCCAAAAACTTTTCCCGCTAACTATAGCGGGAAATTTCTCCTCTAAGGGGAGTTTCCGCTAACTTTAGCCAGGAAATTTTTCCGATAAATTTAGCAAGAAAAATTTGTCCGCTAACCTTAGCGGGGAAACATTCGCGCTAAATTTAGCCGGGAAAATTTCTCGCTAAAACTAGCGGGGAAATTTTTCCACTAACATTTGCGGGGAAATATTTCGCTAAATTTAGTGGGAAAACTTCGCGGCTAAATTTAGGGGTTTAAGTTTTCCCGCTAAATTTAGTGGGGATATTGACGTTACGTGACCTCTACCCCAATTTAGTTTCCCCGCTAAATTTAGTGGGGAAAATGACGTCACGTGACTTCGTGTAACGTCACTCATAAACAAATACAGTTTCTCTGCTAAAATTAGCGGGGAAAATGACGTCACGTGACTTCGTGTAACGTCACTCATAAACAAATACAGTTTCTCTGCTAAAATCAGCGGGGAAAATGACGTCACGTGACTTCGTGTAACGTCACTCATAAACAAATACAGTTTCTCTGCTAAATCAGTGGGGAAAATGACGTCACGTGACTTCGTGTAACGTCACTCATAAACAAATACAGTTTCTCTGCTCAAATCAGCGGGGAAAATGCCGTCACGTGACTTCGTGTAACGTCACTCATAAACAAATACAGTTTTATCTGCTAAAATCAGCGGGGGAAATGACGTCACGTGACTTCGTGTAACGTCACTCATAAGCAAATACAGTTTCTCTGCTAAAATCAGCGGGGAAAATGATGTCACGTGACTTCGTGTAACGTCACTCATAAAGAAATACAGTTTCTCTGCTAAAACCAGCGGGGAAAAGACGTCACGTGACTTCGTGTAACGTCACTCATAAACAAATACAGTTTCTCTGCTAAAATCAGCGGGGAAAATGACGTCACGTGACTTCGTGTAACGTCACTCATAAACAAATACAGTTTCTCTGCTAAAATCAGCGGGGAAAATGACGTCACGTGACTTCGTGCAACGTCACTCATAAACAAATACAGTTTCTCTGCTAAAATCAGCGGGGAAAATGACGTCACGTGACTTCGTGTAACGTCACTCATAAACAGATACAGTTTTTCTGCTAAAATCTGCGGAGAAAATGACGTCACGTGACTTCGTGTAACGTCACTCATAAACAAATACAGTTTCTCTGCTAAAATCAGCGGGGAAAATGACGTCACGTGACTTCGTGTAACGTCACTCATAAACAAATACAGTTTCTCTGCTAAAATCAGCGGGGGAAATGACGTCACGTGACTTCGTGTAACGTCACTCATAAACAAATACAGTTTCTCTGCTAAAATCAGCGGGGAAAATGACGTCACGTGACTTCCTGTAACGTCACTCGTAAACAAATACAGTTTCTCTGCTAAAATCTGCGGGGAAAATGACGTCACGTGACTTCGTGTAACGTCACTCATAAACAAATACAGTTTCTCTGCTAAAATCTGCGGGGAAAATGACGTCACGTGACTTCGTGTAACGTCACTCATAAAGAAATACAGTTTCTCTGCTAAAATCAGCGGGGAAAATGACGTCACGTGACTTCGTGTAACGTCACTCAAAAACAAATACAGTTTTTTTGCTAAAATCAGCGGGGAAAATGACGTCACGTGACTTCGTGTAACGTCACTAATAAACAAATACAGTTTCTCTACTAAAATCAGCGGGGAAAATGACGTCATGTGACTTCGTGTAACGTCGCTCATAAACAAAAACAGTTTCTCTGCTAAAATCAGCGGGGAAAATGACGTCACGTGACTTTGTGTAACGTCACCCATGAACAAATACAGTTTCTTCGCTAAATTCAGCGGGAAAATTGACGTAGCTCAACACCAATTCAATCACCCGCTAAATTTAGGGTGTGGGTTACGCTGATGGCGACTCCGACGCCGATGGCGACTCCGACGCCGACGGCGACGCCGCGAAACTCGGAAACGGGCGCTTAGAATGCTTTAAAAAATTATGCGTCCATACGATCCGTATTCTATAATACGGTATGGAAAACCCACATGACGCGTAGCACGCATATTTCGCATCAAAGAACGCACAGCTCATGTTGATGATTGGTGATAATTGTCTGACACTTTTTCTGTCAGGTGGCATTTAAATTACAATTTTTCTCCTTCTTGTCTTTATTAATTTTTCTTAGGTGAGGCGTACGGCTTAGCAATGTCCTGCTTTTTCTGTGTAGCATGTCTGTAAGATAAGGGAGGATGTCTTAAACCCCTTCAATTGTGAAGTCCACTGATAAGATTGCTCGATTTTCAGCTTACTTTTATATGTGTTTTCTTCATATGTGATGTGATTCATGTCTATATACATATATTTTTTTAATGAGGTAAAAATGGCAAACACTAGGGATGTAAAAACTCATAGCCTACTTACTGCCCGCCCGTGTCCGCACTGTTAATGCTGCTGCCCGTCCTATTCTCATTGTTTGACCACCGTCCTCGTCGCTCAGGTAAAACTTCCTCAGCGTAATGTTGTAATCGGTCCAGGGCTTCAGACCATGCAAACTGTATTCGGTGATACTTGGCTTCAAGATCTTCTGGAAGGTGTGGCCCAGCGATTTTCCCGTCAGAAAGTAGCCGCTAAGTTGCACAGCTTCGTTTCCATGCAAGTGCGTGCCAGGTGTAGCCTCTAGGCTTGGCTCCACAGCAGACGACCACGTGAGAAAGGTAGCGTTGTTCGTGGTGTGATGGGCAATCATGTCCAAGCCTTGCCACAGGAATTCCTTAGGAGCTAAATGTCGTAGGGAAAAATATAAAAAGAAAATATCAAAGTATATAATGGCTCTTTCAATTTTGATTTTGATGCAGCCTAGTATTTATGAGATACTAATGACTGGCCTTCTTTTAAGTTGGTCAACACAATTTTCTCTTAGCTTGCTACAGTATTCTTTGTTACAACGTTTCCAGCAGCCCGACAAGAATCTTTCTTTATTTGGGAAGCGTTATAATGGCAAAAATAAAATCTTTGTCTTTGCCTAACTTGCAGGTCACAATGTGATAGGAAAAAGCTGGGAACACTCTTCCTTAAAATAATTTATACGTAATACGAAAGGGCTTTTTAGCCCGACCCTAGACGACAACTGGCGTATATGTGCTTTGGGTACCTGATGAGTACCTGATAACTGATTCCCATCGTACATAGCATATACGGGGAATGATATTAAGACTAGGTTTGTAATATTTACATATACATGAGTAAAATAAACATACACATACGATTAGAAACTAACTACTTATTAATAAAAAGAAACTTAAAGCTCGAATCCACGCTGCGAAAGTGGTTCGACAGCGAAGCTGTGGTATCCCCTGCAACGATGGCCCACTGCACTATAGACCTTTTTTTTTGACAAAAGCCATTAGGTGGTGCTCCAGTCTTTGACGTGCCAGGGAACTTCCGGTTTATAAGAACGAGGAGCAAAAACCACCTTAACACCGCTGCTTAAAATCTTCTAAATGAAACGTCTAACCACTAATTCTCCAGGGAACGCAAAAAGAACGAAAAAGTGCGAGATCTGAAATATGTTTCGAGTATTCTTGTAAACCTACTTGCCTCCTCCAAGATGTAATATTGTACAGCCGAAGGCCTTCTTTAAATCCCCAACTTTGTTGTCCGTGTAGAATTTATGCTTTCTAGAGCTGGTGACATAAGCAAGCTCAATAGGCTTGCAAAGGCGGTGCGACCGGAAGTCAATTGGGAAGAAAGCGACAGTTCATGTTTGTAAACAGCGAAAGGTTCTCTACCAAATGATTGACGAAAGAAAAGTAAACGCACTGTACCAAAATCCTTTTTTTATATATGAAATACATCGTACGTTGCCTTTGCCACGGCAGCTTATGCAACCCAAACCTTTACCGCGAAACGCATGCGGAGAGTGCTACGTGCTTCACATTGTTAGCGGGGCAAGTGACGTCACTCGACACTTCGTACTTTGCCGTTGCCGCGGCAGCTTATGCAACCGCACTCTTTTCTGTGAAACACATGCGGGGAGCGCTACGTATTTATCATCATTCGCGCGCTCCTTATAGACCATTCCATTTAGCGCTCTCAGGGCGGCACCATTTTGTTCGACCGCAGCGCCCTCTCCACACATCCGAGAAGTTCAGCGGGTTCGGCGAGGTAAAACGAGAGAGAGGGCACGCCGCCGACTCCGCTAGCAGACGACAAACCGGGAGGTTGCCGTTCTCCATCTTTGGGCTGTATCGGCGGGCTCAACCGAACACCGAACTCTCGCTCGTGGCTGCCGTTGTGAAGTGGTTCGCGTTCTCAGAATAGTTGTGGCTACTCCAAAATCAGCCTATAGCTCTCTGTTGTTCTATTTTGCTAAATGATAAACTAGCATATCTTTTTTCCGTTACTTAAATAGCAGTTGAGTCAGCCGGCAGTACTACCCTCAACTACTGCGTGTATTGCGGCAGGAGAGCACGTTTTTATTTATTATTTCAGACTTCCACTCATGGTCGCTAAAGGCCTACACCAGTACGAACTTTTGTATAGTAAAAAAAGGCACAGCAACCGAATTTTCTTTTCGCCAAAGAGACCGGCCAGTCTGACACAGTTTTCCCTATTTTTGTTTTTTATTTGCACGCAGGTAACAGTGCAATTGGACCCTGTGAGTCGTTTTATCTAGCATAGTATTACACGATAACTGGCATACCAAAATCTGCGCATCTGCACTTGAAAGTTCCAAAATGACGCGATTTTAAACGGAGTTTGCACGCCAGCCGGACGCTAGCTACAGCCCACTCGGCGGAGCGGACGGCTTGCGGGGGAGAGGGGGAGTGCATTTTTTTTTCTCTTTTACCCTCTCTGCTATGACCCTAATGGAACGGTCTATAATCTATCACGCGGTTTTGACACTTGTTGTCTGGTTTTCGTATCGAAACAAGTGTCAAAACCACGTGTTGACGGACAAAAAAAAAAATCCACCTGCGAGTCATATACAGCTTCGCTGTAAAACAAAAATATAGATCCATTTGAAAAAGATTTGGCGAGCGTACGTGCTTTGGTTTTCTGGATCCTGAAGTACATCCAACTTCGACACACCCAAGCCTACTTTCAGTTTCTTCTTTATATTTTTCAACAGTAGCATGAGTGGTAAATGTTACGCACAGCATGCTTCCCACACGTCCAATATCTCCCTGTGATTTACCTAGTGGTTTTCGATGCGCCTCTTCTTCCATCGTCCAGTTATTGATACCATATGTTTACTTCCCGATCAAGCGTTTTATTTGCCAAACTAACTCTTTAGAATTCAAAACGCTACGTACGTAACTAAATTAGCTTCTCGGCCATATGTAGTAGGCCAATATTTGTTTGTATTCTTATGACGCGGAGGAACTTTTTAGGTGATGCTTCATAATACGTCCGGTATATATTTATTTACTAACCCGTTTTGTTTGGATGAATGCCGTCGACCGGAAGGACATATTTTCTAAAATAAAATCATGAATTTAAAGTAGCAGAAACTTACCGCAGAGGGAAGAATCTTCCTCTTCAGGCTCAGGCTCTATATACCGATAAAATTCACGACGCCCAAAATATCTAGGGCATTCAGAAACTCCATTGCAAACATCGGTATTTGTCAAGACGCTGCCAGACGGACACTTAAATGGATCTTCGTCATACTTCAAGTCACCTGCAAATAAGACATGTTAAGCATTTCTATTGTAAATTTAATTGTCTGCCTCGCCTTGCTTTTAATATTGTATTTTTCATTCCGCACTTACTAGAACCATTTAAAAATACGTTACTCTGTTGTTAGTTAAGTCGCGAATATACCGGAGACTAAGGCAACAGCGAATGAAGAAAATGCTTGAAGTGTAAATTGAATACAAGGAACGAAACAGTCTGAATCTCTGCACTCTCGAGGTTAAACGAATTGGTCACACAAAGCACCCTTTGTTGAGTATTTTTAATAATAAACTTTAAGATCAAGTACCGCTAAAATCTCCGCGTTCTTTGCATGGAACTTTACAACCGAAGACAAACGTTTCCTTCGCAATAAAACTAATAGAGCACCCGAACAAAGACTTTGACCACTTCAAAAGCCTTCAAACAAAACGAGACAGTCTTTTAAAGCAAAATCTCTAGAACAAGCATTGTCGAGTTTCTGGAGGATGAGAATCAAGTCTTCTCGGTTTTTAGAGCGAAGCTCTTATGGTACGTTTACACTTACGGATCCGCTAGCGAATTCGCCCAGCTTTGGCCGCTGGGGCGAAACGCTGGGCGGAAAACGCCGCGGCGAGCCGTGTAGGTCCAGGACCTATTTTTGCCGCCGAACGAGGCGTTTCGCCGACCGGAAGCGACATTCTTGGGCAGCGCGACACTGCCGATGTCACGAGTCGCGTTCTTCAGGGTGCAGCAACCATAAAGTTATTATAATGTACGCTAGAGGTTCAACTGGGGCTAGTGTCTATGCGACTTTCGTTACGCAAAATAAAGCAGACAGCAACCAGTCTACTTTTGCGGAGCTCCTGTGCATTCCTATGAGAAAACGCGCGTGCATTTTGTCTCTTCGCCGGAAAATAACACGGAACGCTTTGGTTATTTGGGTCGTATCGAATAATATGTACCTTGAATAACATTCTAAAACTGTAATGGACCTTTTCCACATACCGACGGCACCAGGTGGTGGCTGCACGAACTAAAAATTGAGGAAGTGACCTACCTGCGCTACCAATCGATTTTGGGAGCTACGCTACCAGTTTCTTCGCTCTCTGAGCTGCGTCGCGAGCCAACGCGAGCCCAACGCGGCTGTAAAGAGGGGCATCCGTGGCGTCCACCCAGACGTTGTGTTTTTCTTTTCGTCCACTTTCTTTTTTTGTGTAACACAATTATATATATGCTGCAATTACGTGTTATACTTGCTAATCCACAGCCTCTTTCCGAATTTCCTCGATTTTTCGTGCCTACTTCCGCCGCTTGGCATCGGGCGCTCGCGCGTGCGCAGAACGCTTCTTGGAAAAGGTCCATTGCTTTAGCTAGCGCATTTTTCTTCATCGGTGAACGATGTCTAACTTCGCTACATTTCAGTCCCAAACATCTGTTCTGCAGCAGGTGTGTAAAAACAAGCGACGATTCAAAACAAAATAACAATCGAAAAGAATATAGTGTGTGTTCAAGGTTCGCCAGCATCCCGGTGTCGCTTATATATTGATAGAGTGCCAGTCCTGTCACCATATGAAAATGACCCAGTCGTGCATGAGCGGCTAAAAACATTCAAATAAAGAATAAGGTATGTGGGCTATGAAAGGTGGCTCTTCGTAGTGTTTTCTCTGCCGGGCAGCCTTTATCCGGCAGTTATTCTCAAAGATTTCGAGCGTGCGGGTAATGTTTTCAACGCAGAACAAACATCTTCGCACATATCCTCACGAGCAGAAAGAACAAAGCGGTACTTACTTATTTAAAATCGGAATATATTACGTGGCCTTCAATTTATTTTGATCGTACATGCACGGGTAGTTAACTGATCGAGTGTTACTGCGTAGTTCTGGCCGTCTCTCTTGTTTTTCCACATGTCCTTCGTTCGTTCGGCTCGTATATCCCTCATGCTGAAAAGTTCCGACGTCGTGTTCGCGCTAACAGTGTCGGACAGTGCACATAAATACACGTACGGAGCCGTTAAAGCACCGTTCTTAATGCGATGAATTTGAAAGATAAACGCCGTTACTGACCAATTATTTCATCGGCCTGACTCAGAGCGCAGGGAGAAAATGCCCTCACTCTTTCCCATAGAAATGCATTACGGAAAGTCACTTTTGGACTGGTTGCTGTCTGCTTCAATTTGCGTCAGCACACTAACGCCCCTTGAACCTCTAGCGTACACTATAATAACTCTATGGCAGCAACGCCCGGGAGAGACAGCCGAGGTGGGAAGTCTCGCGACTTCTCGTCATATTTGACGGAATGTCACGAGAACAGCTGCCGCAGCCGGCGCCGCCGCTGCCGCTCGAAGGAAATAGAAGTAAACACAACGCGCTCGTCGCCGCCGCCACCGGGAGCGAATCCGCTCCCGCAGCAGCGGATTTCGTCTCAGGTGTCCCGTTTCCGGCTTGAGCGGCGTCGCCCTAGCCGTCGGTATAACCGGGGGCGTTGCATTATGGGACGTTTCCCCGCTAAAGTTATCGGGGAAATTTTGTCGCTAAACCTAGCTGGGGAAATTTATTCGCTAAGTTTAGCGGGGAAATTTTACCACAACATTTAGCTTTAAAATTTTCTGGGTGAATTTAGCGGGGAAATGTTTCCGCTAAATAGCGAGGAAATTTTCCCACTACATTAAGGGGGAAAACGTTTCCGCTACGTATAGCTGGAAAATTTACCCGCTAAATTTAGCGGAAAAATTCTCCGTTAAATTTAGCGAAAAAATTTTTCGCTAAACTTAGTGGGGAAATTTTTGCTAAATTTAGCGGGAAATTGCGAAAAATTCACGCTAAATGAGAGGCGAGCAGCAGAGGAGAAGGGAAGGATACGGCGTTGGAGGTAGGAAACTTCCTCCCTTCTGTACCCTCCCCCCTCCTACTCAAGAGCTCCGCTCTAATTTGGCATTACAGAGACTCGTAATTTTTTTCTGAATATTGTTGTAGATAATATTAACATATTACTTTCAAGGAAATGTCGAGTTTGAAGACTTAGTAAAAAGGAACATCTTTTCGAACATGCGAGGCGTATAAAAATATGCATAGCTAAAAAAACTGAATGAAATCTCCAGGTATTTTTTTAGATTTCTTCACAGCGAGATCAGGAATAAAATTTCAACGCTTGCTTTTAGCTTTTTTTTTTAATAGCAGAAAGTTGTAAAAATTTGGATGTAGGCACCTTAAAAAGTAATTCGTGCCAAATATTTTTCGACTTTGGCGAGATCATTATCATTAAAACACAGCTGGAAAAGTGTGACAAGAGAAATGATTGAGGGCTTTTTATTGCAGTTCGGGAGGAGAGGTGCGTCAGTGAACCTCCACTGTGGCTCTATCGAAAAATAAGTTCGCGTTCCTACACCCATGAATAAATTGCGTCCCATCGAGTTATTTCACTGTTGACTTGGTGCCCGGTATGCGAGTCAGAAGTGTGTTTCTATTTGATTATTTGAGCTTGCTTGCTTCCTTCTTGCCCGTTTGGTCTATTAAACTACGGTGCTAGCAAAACAGTGTTCTTTCATAGTTGTGTCTTCTATTCCTCGACGCTTATTGAACTGTTTATCTCCATTAAGTACGACCTGACTTGTACGTAACTTGTTAGAAGTAATGCGCTACTTGTTAATTTTTAATGTATCGAAAAAACGACTTAGCTACTTCTTGAGAGGAGGAACAAGTAATGCGCTTTCGTTACTCTTTGATGGTGTAACGAGTCACGGTGCTTAGTTACATCCAGTGTTGTACATGCGCCTCAAAAAAAGGAACGGAAGCTCGTTCCTCGTTCCTTCTGATTTTTGGAACGCGTTCCCGTTACAAGTTTCATCTGTGAGAAAGGAACTCGTTCCTGTTACAGTTTAAAAAAATGGAACGATCGCTACAAATAAGTTACATTTGTTTTTTGCTGATTACCATGTTTAGTTAAATCAAGCAGAGTTTTTTTTTTAATCTATCCCATTTATAGGCAACATACGAGTTTGTATGTCTTGATGGAAAGGCACCAGGAGAAGAAAACAGGCGGAAGCACGGTTTTATTTGTTGATATATTTAAGTTAAAAATCTCAGCTTTTAACCATATTCATGTTTGTAGTGGACGATTCAGACGAGCCAAATGTACTGTTACCCCACACTGCACGAGCATTTTACAACAACTTCGAACGTTTCAATTTAACAAAGTATCTTGTTAGAACTCAACAACAGTTGCTCCTCGATGTTGTTGTCCGCAAGAAGAGCAAGATAAAAAAGTGTAGGGCGTTTGGAAGGTCAGTCTTGAAAACTACAAATACTTCTTTGTGAAGGTTGAATTTGTTGTTCAGTTTGCAGGTGGGGGACAAGAAAAGGTATTAAAGTATTTTTTTTGTATCTTTTGAGTGACCAATGTTTTGGACACAAGGGTGCGTCGATGTCTGTCAACCTGTGATTTTATTGTAACTGTTGGTATCGTTATAAAGTTCAGAAATGGCTGAAGTCGGCCTTAGATGTCTGGGTGTGTGAGGATTCGTGGAACCAAAGAAAGTAGCATGAGTTTGAAACGACCCTCTTTCTTTGTCTTTTCCTATGACTAAAAGTTTTGCTTTGTGTAGCACAGTTTCGGGCACTCAAAAAAAAAAATCAGTGTTCACCAGCTCTTCTGCACCCCAAACTGTCAGCGAGCGAGGACCACACAAAAAAAATCCATAAGATTAGTAGCCAAAAAGTTGACGCGATCCTGCTCTTCGTACAGATATTGGTTTCCTACTTTAAAAATTTCCCTGTTAAAAATAAAATAAAAATTATCCCACTGGACGAAAAAAAGGAACGCCGTTACTCTTTCCTTTCTAGTTAAAATGTAACGCGTTCCCGTTCCAGTTCCAGCTATGCAAAATGGAATGGCAGCGTTCCTTCATTCCTCCTAAAAGGAATGCGTTCCAGGAACGCCGTTCCGTACAACAGTGGTTACATCTAAAGGGGAACGCGTACAAGTCACCCAATTTAGTTTTCGCCAGAGGAAAAACGTTCGATTCAAGGATCTTACGGCACTAAATTATTAAGATATCATTGTGTCAGCAACCAGCTGGTACATCAAAGTTAGTACGTACATTTGTTTGTTTTTGTCCTCTCTGTTTCTACTCACATGCATTAACCCATGCTTACAACCGTAGTAACATTAATCCCAAACTGATTTTTCCTGATGCTGTCTAATTCTTCTAAACACTGGGAGGCGGCTACTGCTACACAAAAACAATACACTCAGAGTGACGAGAAAGGAACGCGTTTCGTTTAAGCTGAAGGTACGAGTTTCTTTTGAATCTCAGTGACGCGTAACGTACTTAATCACTTCGTTGAGCTAGTAACGAGTAACGTTATTTGACTACTTTTTTTATTAACGTACGTACATCTATGTGTACAAAGTCTACTAACTGACCCAACGAACTCCCTCAGTGTGTCTTGGATGGATGGATGGATGGATGGATCTGGCTAAACCCTGTGAATCGGGCGGTGGCTTGCGCCACCTAGCCAACATTATAAATCTAATTATATGTTTTGAATTCCAAGATTAAATCTCACCCCTGCCTCGATTTTAGCCACCAGTCTGATAACCTCCGCTTGGTTATTTCTACCCGTGTAAAGTCTATTTTTCCTTCACTGTCTTTAAAACCCAATGCTTTGATTAAATCCGCCCGGTCACTGTTAACTGTTGGGTGAAGCCCTTTTTCGACGTTAGCACCGCCCCCTGGTGGCCATCGAGGACAGGTGAGAAAGGGAAGAAGCAGAAAAACTTGCCAAAGCGACGTCAGGGCCAATGTTATGCGGCCCTTGCTTGCCTCTCAGCTTGCTCTAAAAAGGAGGCCGTGACGTCTCAACGCCATTAACAGGTAAAAGGGGGCTCAAAGGTTCGCCGCATGGCAATTGTTGCCGGCTTTAAAAATAATAAAGGTGGTTTGCGTAACACCCTTCTCAATGGAAGCGCTATCACCAAATTCAAGAGAGCTAAGGTAGCCTGATATTAAGTAAGTTTTTTTTAAAGTTTTTCGAATTCTTTTTAATGGTTGGTAGATATAGGTAGTTCTGAATGCACACTTACCTAGGGCCAGTGGACTGGAGGAAGTCGCCAACAATCGAGCAGCTCCTGTGAAAAAAAAAAGTATCGCAAGTTGCCCTGCAATTCTGTTGCTACGTGAAACGTTCTTGGTTTAGCACTAGTAACCTCCAGGCATTCCTTCTCGAGCTCTGCCTCCAGGACCCTCGTTCGTCTCCACTGCATTGATTCAACCCCATTGACCATACTCACCCCTCTCCACCCCTGTAATGAGAAAAACAAAGGGGCGAGAGTCGAAGACCCAGGTATGCTATTGCAGACCTTTCGTCGTCTCAACCCATGGACTCCGAGCTCACAGAGCAATACCATCGTATGAGTATGGTGCCTGGATCGCGTCTTCGAATGGTGTGTTTAGCGTCTTATCCCGCCCATACATCAAAAGTGGTCCCCAAGTGGCAACAAATGACGTCACAGAAGCCGGAGTGTCATGCTGTTGCCTGTCGCGATCCTGGCGGTTGGCCATAGAAATGCTGACGAAAAGCACGAGCGAACGCGAGTGTCGCTGTCGTCACGGCATCCCAGGCGTCCCAGATTCCGGCTGCTCTGGCTCCCGTGACCTGTCACAGTGGAGAGCGACCTGTAGCAGAACAGACGTCTGCTATTTCTACCACAACCGTTGGGACGCCGCCAGGGTCGCGACCGGGGACAACATGACACTTCTATGACATCAGCAGGCGGAAATCGAGGGACCACTTTTTTGGCCGCGGTAAACACACCAGTCGGAGTCGTGTTCCAGGCACCATAGTATGAGTCTCCCGTGAGCCAAACCAAGATCAAAGTACATGCAAGTGGCAGGGACATTCAAATTATGGTACCGCGTACGTGAGGTGGCGCGCAGAACTGATATATCGTGTAATTCACTCCCCGATAACATTCTAACAATATAGAAGAGCCCAGCACGTTTCGAGCGGCACTTGCCGCTCTTTACACGTAATTAACCTAAACTGTTTTTTGTTGGTGTGTGTGTTTTCACAGTGAGTTTTAACATAATTTGCTGTTTGTCCCCCCTTATGTAAAGCCCCCTGAGGGCGATATAAAGGTACAATGAATGAATGAATAAATGATTGAACCAATACTTGTGACAGGTCAGACTGGCTATTAATCGCAAACACAAACTGTGCGTGCTTGTCCTTCATTATCTATTATTTTTCTTGTGCGGCACTTTCTAAATAACGATTTCTCACAACTAGCGGTTTCGTATTCATTTTCTATATCAGATTAAAAGCCTGACAAGCTTGGCGTTCGCTACAGGATGAGACCGCGGGTGTTACCCTTAACATTTTCGACGACTAACATGGATATTAAGAAATGGTTAGATGTGGCGGAGCCTCTATGTCTACAGGGACCGGATGCACATGAATGGACAGACGAGGAACGCGCACGAGAACGAGACGAACGGGCCGCCGAAAGAGATGGAGCCAAGGAAAAGTTAGCCTCAGAAAGAGAAGCAACTCGGGAAAGGTTGCAGTCGGAAGAAGGAGCGCTCTAATTAAGAGCTAGGATCGCTGAGTTAAAACCAAGGCCAGGTCCCTCTAGAGGTGCCGGTGGTGGCGAGGGCAAACAATTATCGGGAGCTCAAGTGAGTCCGCACGAAATGATCCCAGCCTTCTAGGAACAGAAAGATGACCTGGACGCACACCTCACACGCTTCGAACGGGTCGCTGTAGGGCACGAATGGCCAAGAGAAAATGGGCAATTGCGTCGAACATGTGCTTAACGGGGGAAACATTGGACGTGTATGGATGGATGCCCCCTAGATATCCTTAGATTATGAAAAAAAATATTTTTTGCATTTCTCACTCGATTTCGGTTTCCAGCAATTGTTTATGGCGAGAAGTTCAAAGAAAGTAGGCCCGGGGAGGGAGAAATTGCCAAACAATACGGCACGAGGTGGGCTGGTTACTTCGACCGATGGATCTATATATCGAAATCTCAGCAGACATGCACGGATGCACTGGACTTGTTGGTGGTCGAACACCATTTTGAAAAATTTCCCCACCGAACTAGCCGTCTTCATAAGAGAGAGGAATTTCAAATCGTTATCGCCGGCGGCAGAGGCTGCTGGTATGTTTTAAAGGCCCAAGGACAGTCAACTTTAGCGTTTCTCCGGGGAAATGTGGATGTGAATCGGGCGCTAAACAAACATAAAGATTGGGACCTACCAGATACGGCGATGAGGTGCTCTTTGTGCGGCAAGAAAGGCCATTGGACGTCTCTCTGCCATTCGAAACCAGGTCAAGCTCAACCGTTATGTCACATTTGCAAAATAAAAGGCCACATGTCTAGGACGGGCCGTCATCGTACACGTAGGCCTCATGTGTCCGGTCTAAGAGCACCACAATGAACGGCAGCAACGGATTGACAAGAGGAATCTGGGAAGGCTGAACTTGGGAATGCCTGTCATGAAAGGCCTTCTTAACGGTTAACGAGTAATGGTATTAAAGGACACAGGCTGTGATACCGTGGTGGTACGTACAGGTCTGGTTCCCCTGAAAGAGGTGAGCGATGCGAGGAGCCTAATTTTCTTTGTTGATAGAACATCTCAAACGCTACCTGAAGCAAACATTTCAGTAGCTTCCCCTTCCTTCATCGGAGAGGTCGTAGCCAAGTGCATGGACACCCAACTATATGATCTTATAATAGGCAACATCCTAGGGGCACGCGAAGTGAACGTCTCGAATCTAAACTCAGAAGCTCCTCATGTGACGAAAGTCAATTAATGAAGCTGCAATATTCTTGAGGATAAAACCAAGTGCTTTGTCAGTGAAGTGACAGAAGCCGTACCGAAGTGTCGCACGAGGCGAGCCAAAATAGCCGTAGTTAGAAATATAGGAATAACTCGAGAAATTCTAAAGCGGTGCAGAAGAATGCACCCACGTTGTGGGCTTACTGGGAGATGACAGAAACGATATTCCGTATCAGAGAAGGAAGCTCTCACAGCTTCTAAATCTCCAGAAACATCTTGTTCCGGTACTATCATGTATCATCAGGCAAGGAGTTTAAACAAGTCGTTCTTCCGAACGAGCTAAGAAAGCAGGTCCTCGAAATACCTCCTGACAGTCCAATGGCTGGTCTCCAAGGTGTAAATAGAACAACAAACATGGTGCTTGAAGAGTTTTATTGACCTGGAGCACAGGCATACACTAAAAGGTATGTCAGCTCTTGTGACATTTGACAGAGAAGATTTCCAAAAAGAAAAGTGCCGAGAGCACCGCGGGTCGAATACCCATCTTTGTCACTCCGTTCGAAAGGGTAGCCATTGACATTATTGGTCCCCTTTCCTCAACCTCCGAAGGTGAAAATCTATTTATTTTCGCCATGGGGCACTTCGAAACCAGGTACCGTGATGTAGTGGCACTACCAATGAAGGACACAAGGCGGGTGGCCAAAGGGCTCTTAGATATGTTCTCGCGTGTGGGATTGCTGGGTAAACTGTTTTTTCGACAAAAGGGCGAATTTTAAATTAGAATATATGCATGACGTGACCAAACTGCTGTGAATTCGGCAAATGTTGTCCATACCATACCATTTTCTATTTAAGGGACTAGCGGAGAGGTTTAATGAGTCACTAAAATAGATGTACGAGTGTCAAAAGAGGCCACGTTCGTGGGATCGATATCTTATCTCTTGCTCATTCGAGTTTGGGATTGGTTTGGGATTCTTTTTGAACTTCTGTATGGCCGCCACGTCCGAGTGCAACTGACAGTCCTAAAGGAGAACTGGACCCAAGATGACCTCAGCGTAGAATTCAAAACGACATATAGCTATGTATTAGAGCTGTGAAATAGACTTGGACAAACCTTAAAATTGGCCCACCAGAAACTAGGTGAGGCTCAAATATCACAAAAAAAGGTTTTACGACATGAGATCGTCAAAAAGACAACTTAAAGGAGCTGTGCAACAATTTCAGGGCTTTGCTTAAATAATTGTGGAAGTTGATGCAGTGAACTTCTGCAGTGAACTACAGAAAACAGATTTTGCCTGGATACCCTAGTTTTTACTTAAAAAAATGAAAAAGATCCAGGTTTTTGCCGCCTCTCAACTCGTGCATCGTCTTCCGGGTCACGTGCACAGTGACGTCACTAGAGTAGGCGCGGAGTTCCGGAAAAGTTCTCTCTTTAGAGCCATCAGCGAGCAGCGAGAACTCATCCGCTGCCGACTGCGTGACCACCCGTCCTTGCCCGTCCGGCGCTGTTCCCCTCCCCCTCCGGCTTCTGGCGGCTGTTCGCGGTTTTGTGGACCTAGGATAGATGGCGCCACTAAAACTCCGTATAATAAAAGTTGTTGATGATACCAGGGTGTTGACGCATTTATATATACGTTGGAACGACACGATTTGTAAAAAGAGTTACCTTTTATCGAGCAGGTATTCGCACAACTTGCTATCTTTCTTACAACGACCCAAGTGACGTCACGCCGCTTGTTTCTCATGGCCGCCGCTCGTGGCTGCAGGTCGGGAAATATTCCAAGTTTTGCCTCGCTATTACGCGGCGGAATCGTAACATTACGATGAAAGGAGGTGTGTTTTCTGCCATTTGTGACACAGTGAACAATATCAAAAGCAGAAAATGCCAATTCTTTCAACGTTAAAATCGTTGCACAGCTCCTTTAAGGGTGATCGCGCATTTATCTTGCTACCAAGTGAACAAAACAAGCTGCTTATGTACTGAACGGGCCAATTCCCTAGGGTTGAAAAGAAGAATTAGGTTGACTATTCGTTGGACCTAGGACACGCCAAGAAATTGTTTCAAGGAATTTGCTGTAGCAGTACATAAAATGAGATTTTAAGCGGGGTGAGAACCAGGGGTGTTGAGTTGTAGCAGTGGAAGTATCACACTCTGAAATACTATTACCATGCTTGAGTATTTCAAAGACCCAAAATCGCAAGGAAGTGGGCGAGTCCAAGGAACTTTCCGAAGCGCAACGTGACGATGTCGAACGTATTCTCAAGAAGTTTATAAAGACATTTTTAGCGACGTTCCTCGAAAGATAAACTTATTAAAATGTTATTTACAGCTTACAACAGCATC